GAATCACGCAAGGAAAACAACGAAGCAATATCACGAGTCACAAGAAATAAAAAAACAACCAATCACGAGTCACAGAAAAACCCTTTTCTTCTCTCGCGTATATACAATATTACAAAATACAGAAGACATACATTTTCATTGATTATAAAATGTAATCCTATAATTCTATGTCTCGTCCTGAAATAACCCTATCATTTGTTATTATTATTCAAAATTTTAAATATTTTACGACAGCCGGATATGAATTATTAATGAACTTTTTTTACGTCAAAGTGTCGCGTTCACATCCGAAACTGACGCATAAAATGCATCTTTAAAAATTTAAAAACTCCTCAGTTGAAGAACACAAATTTAAAAGCCTATACATAGAGAAACTACATTCGTGTGGACTCCTAGCGTTATGTTTCGCCTCAAATGCCATTTGTTATTGTGACTCTGAGCCAAAATTGCTATTCAGTTATAACTCTAGGGACTAAATTTAAACTAGTCGAACATTTAAATACACACAAACACACACACACATATATATATATACTTGTGTTCTTGTAAATTACTTTGTTATTTCGGGTAGGCACGCGAGTCAAAACATCTTTATCAAACAGTGCCCTATTATATGAAAACACACTGTGTGTTATTAACTGGAGTAATTTTTTAGCGATTTTCCTCTAACTGTATATTGGACTGTGGGAATCTAAACTATCATATATTTTTAGTGGATATGCTCTACTGGACCATTACTTCATATACCAAATTTCAAGACAATCCTTTAAGAAATACACGAGATATAAAATCTCCAATTTTGAATAAATTTCTTTTTACGGAAACTTTATTTGATAGAAAAACTTACTTAATTTTTATGGATTTTTTTTTCAAATCTCGTACACTTATAGATATTTACAACCTACAATTAGAAGTCTCATTTGGTGTAAATATAAGCCACATGTGCAAAGTTATTCAACAATAATAGCTCAATTTTGAATATAATTTTTGCGCATGGTTACGCAAAAAGTCACGTGAACTATCGGTCTAAACTTTTTACTACAGTTTCATCTAAGTGTAAAGGTGGACCGTTTTTAGTTACTGTCATTCGGATTAAGGACGGCTGATTTACAGCAGCAAAACTATAGGGTAAAAGCTCGTACAAATACATAAGTATTGGTTAGGCCAAGAAAACTAGGTTAGCAGTTTCTAGTTCAAGTTTTTAAAAGAATCATATGGGCGAGTGGTTACCATTCATTGCCAACTTTTAAGAACAAATTTGCAAAATTTTATGAAATTATCCTACTTAAAGAGCGTTTAGCGTCAAGTGATATTAGCTCAAGCAATTAGCATAAATAATGATGTTTGATACGGCTGTGCCGAGTACATGGTGGTGATGACAAGAAACTGTTAATCCAGTTTCCATCTCGTCACTATAAAAGAAGCTATTTAACACTGTTTTAGAGAGGAAAACTACCATATATTTTAAAGAATCTGGTTGGTTCTGTAAAGTATAGATCTGTTCCGAATAATAGGGTTGCAATCATTAAGCTAATATTGGTTATTATCGAGTATCTCTTTCTTACTTGGTGTGGTTTGTTGGTGTGTATTGACAAAAAGTCACAATATCTAATCAAAAACATCTTAGATGTGAAAAAATATATTAAGCGCACGACTTAAAGGAATGAAATCAAAACTGACAGCCAAACTGGTATCTACACTTATAGCATTGATAATAATTTTACAGCAAATATTCATTCATTAGTTAGCCAGGACGCATTTTTGGTTCAAGTTGGAGCGTGATGGTGGTTAAAATAAAATACGCGGTCTAGCTAAAAATCCTAGATGGTGGGTAATTTGTTTTACCCACCATCATTCCCCAAGTTGAACAATATACACGGTCTGGGTAACTAATGAAATAATATTTGCTGTAAAATTCTTATCAATGCTGTATGTATAACTACCAGTTTGGTCGCCAATTTTGAGTTCATTACTTTAAGTCGCACGCTGAATCCTTTTTTCGCAACACCTTTTTTCACACCTGACGTGTTTTTGATTAGATTTGAATTGCAACATGCACACTTTGAGTTTAAGATGGATAAGCTAATATCAGTCATAGTTTATACACTGCGCACTTCTGTGAAAATGTGGTGTATTATATATGGTCTTCTTGAATCTTTCTCTATTCATCAGATTTAAAAGACGTGTTACGTTTTATAATCTAATTTCTCACGTACATATAACCTTTACACATTTATATACTAGGTAATATTCAATAAAGTTATTGCTTGACGACATACATTAATACACCAGTACTACGGCTATAACTTAGAAGAGTGTGACGAGTATTCAGGCTAAATACAATGTTTGAGTTGCACGAAAACAATGGTTTTTGTTGATAATATCCCAAATGTTACTTTCTTAGGCTAAGAATGTATTTTGAATTAATTAAGTTCAATTATTTAAAAAGGTAAAAGTAGGCCCAATTTCTCATTTAGGTTTCGTAAAAGACGGAGTTTATACAGTTTTATTTTAACTGTTCTTGGTTAATAAAAGAATAGTTAATCTACCTAGATTATATTTTTGTGTTTAGGTAGAAAGAACGGGTTCTATCTAAGAAGAGGATTGGGTAGAGTAAAATGTGGTTGAGTAAACTAATCCTTTAGAAACCTTATAATTATAGTGGATAAAACAAAAGAAGTAAACTTCAGTTGCTTAATCTGTTTCACACCATAACAGTTGTTGTTCATGAAACTTAATGATACACACACACATATATATATATAGCGTCTAGACAACTACTATGTCTGTTGTATCCCAGCCAGCTTGATCATCCCTAGTATTACGAAAGGCCTTGTAGGCACTGGATATGGTAGATATAGCGTGGTTGACATATAATAATATATTTCTCTTTGCTTTCACTCGTGAGTTCTTAGAATAACAACATGTGTGACAAAAGTGACTGTTAAATATTAGAAACAGCTCATTTTTTCATTTTTACCTTTCAGATAAGGGCTTATCTGTCGTACAGAGTAAAACTTTTGCTTATTTTGTACACAACGTTTCACCAGGTTTATCTCCCACCATTCAGTTACAAGAACTAAGGCTAACATTGGTCTTTTTACTTTAAATTAAATCCTGTTAGCCCAACAGCTTGTATGCTAGCTTCAGTTCTTGTATCTTACCTGATGATGTTAGGTAAATCTGGTTAAACAGTGAAAAAAAGTTTTACTCTGTAAAACCGATAAAAACTTGTCTGAAAGTTAACAAGGTGAGTCTTAACAACATGTGAAGAAACTGCTTGCCCAGTTGGTGGCAGCATATTGTTCAGAAAGAGACGAAATCTTATTTATTGTAGGCCAGCCATATCAGATTACAGTAAACAACTGCACATTAATAGAGTTAAGAATGGGAGCAATGAGACACCATTTTTCAACATTGTCTTCGTTAACTAACACAAATTTCTCCCGTCTGTCTGTGAGATTAATCATAACAGTTCGGTAACATATAGGAGTGGTGTTACGAATTCTTTTACATACAGTTGCTTTAAAAACCACCAGTTACCTATAACTACGTGAACACGTAGACCGTCCTTGAGAGTAGGTAGGCTGTCCTTGAGAGTAAGTATGTGAAAACGTAGGCCGTCCTTGAAAGTACGTATGTGAACACGTAGGCCGTCCTTGAGAGTACGTATGTCAATACGTAGGTCATCCTTGAGAGTAGGTATGGGAACATGAAGGCCGTTCTTGAGAGTACGTGTGTCAATACGTAGGCCATCCTTGAGAGTAGGTATGGGAACACGAAGGCCGTTCTTGAGAGTACGTATGTCAATACGTAGGCCGTCCTTGAGAGTAGGTATGTGAAAACGTAGGCCGTCCTTGAAAGTAAGTATGTAAACACGTAGGCCGTCCTTGAGAGTAGGTATGTGAACACGTAGGCCATCCTTGAGACTACGTAGGTATGTGAACACGAAGGCCGTTCTTGAGAGTACGTATGTCAATACGTAGGCCATCCTTGAGAGTAGGTATGTGAACATGTAGGCCGTTCTTGAGAGTAAGTATATGAACACGTAGGCGTTTTGAGAGTAGGTTTAGCAACAGTAGGCCGTCTTTGAGAGTATTAAACAGACAGATACCACATGATAATACTTATAGGTCAAGGTGTACATACTGGATAAGGAAGGACTAGTTAAACTTTTCAAGTGCAATAAAAATAGGGCCAGACACTACCATGTTGTGAAGAATGTCTTTCATTGGACACTAGTGTGTAGAGTTAGTGGAACAAGGTATCACATGATGAACCTTCTCGCTGCTCTTCGTTTATTAATAGCTTGATTACACTACTGTTCAAGATCCTTGTCACTCGTGATTGTCATTTTGTAATTGTATTGTATATAACCCATGGTAGGAATATAAAACATGAGATGCCACTAGTAACGTACAGATACTGTGACCTTTTAGTCGTTAACTGAAGCTTCGAATTTTCAAATTCAAATCAAGCATGGAATAAATATAAGTTTCTCATATATTTTCTGAAAACCTTCGGAGAATCGTTTTCTCAACAAAGTTCAGTGTATATAAGACAGTTTCTTTGTCTTTTTTTTAAACATGGTAAACATGGTAATGTAAGCTTGTGTTTTGCAGATAAAAAGTGCGATAGATTCTGAAATGTTACAGCGAGCCTCCTTGAACAAGATTTAGAAATACGGTTTAAACCAACTCTTTGTATGAATATTTACAGACGTTAGCCTACTCTTTGTAGAAATAGGCAGAGCAGAACTAAAAAACGAAAGCTTTGAAACACTCTTGTCATAGATCAAAGTTTGGAAAGCCAACGTGCTTGTTTCAGACCTAAGCTTTGGAACGTTAAGTCATGGCACGCGGATTCTACGTTCAGCAAGCTGTTGAATGCCTGTAGGTGAAAGAACAGCTCTGCGCGTGTCACGGATAGTTCATGCGTCACGCTACAGGTAGCTATAACTAATGTTAGGTGGTACACCAGAAAGAGAGAGCGTTCAAGGATCCAATCTGCTCAGACGACTGGGCTTAGAGAGAGACGGGCAGAGCTGTACACCAGAGGTAATGGGCATCCAGAGCAAAATGGGCTGATGTGCTCTATGTGATTATTCCTGACGTAAAGGCTATGCTCAGTGACGAGCGTTTCACTGATATATTCTTGCCCATACAAATGAATAGTTCGAGGAATTCGTGTAAAGTTTTTCGACAATCTAGTCACTTCCCAGGAACCAAACAAACTTAGAAAAACCGAAAAATACTTTTGGTATTTTGTAATCCACAAAAGATTGGATCGAGGAGCTTAAACAGAAAATAAATAGGTGACCATGTTGGAATGAGTGTTCCCCCCTCGACGTTTCTGTAGTGGTCAGTAAGAGATATAGTGGACATTATTCTTCGCATCAGCATGCAGCGAAGTGTCCGGCTTAACGATTCTCAACTTCTGACTTTAGCAGAGAAAGCTCAACACGATAATGGCACGAGAGGCTATTTATATAAGCGGACGGCAGACGCGAGCAAGTGGCAACTACGATGGTTCATTTTGTACCAGAATTTACTCTTTTATTACGAGAACGACTCCGCGGCTCGCCCGTCCGGGCTTGTGTTTTTAGAGGGATGTTATTGTGAGCGGATGATCACACCAACAACAGGCAAGACCAGCGGCACTACACAGGTAAGAAATTACAGTCAATATTCTCGATATGTTTGTTAGATACAATAATTTAACGTTTCACCTAGGCTATTGTTGGTAATCTGTATTTCGCACGTTGGTACAGTTCTTCAGATAAAGAATAGAAATTTACCCGTTACTCTAACTTGCTGATTGAAGAACAAAATCGAAATAGATGTTAATTGGTTAAGAAAATATTGGAAATTTAATCTAAAGATAAAAAAGGTATACAAACGACTGCGTAAGAGCAATATACGCTATTATTATTATTTTTATCATAAAACAGTTTAAAAACCTTCTAAGGTGAGTTGTTTTACCTCACACGGGAAGTTAAAGTCCACTGTACAAATTGACCGATTTCTTTCAGAAATTAATTATAATTTTACGTATGAAGTGTAGCCATGTGAACTTTGTAAAATAAAGTGAAAAGGCAACAAAAACATAACCTTTAAATATATATATATATTAGTTATTCATTTTTTTACAGAAGATCCACATGCCATAACTAAACACTCTGTGGTGCGAGCTTCATTCAACATGGCAGTCTCTTCATCGAATTGAGAAATGATATAAACTATACATTATATCTCTGTATTACTGTTAAAATAAATCGCATTTTTATACATACTCCCTGAGGGTACCCGTTAAAGAAGCAAAAATTGTATAAAGGATAATATTAGGTAATGAACCCTTCATTCTTTCATTTGTTGTTAAATCCCTAATGGCCTCATTAGATGCTAATTGCATATTCCGCTTTGTGGAAGGTAACAATTGACTCATTTAACTAATTAAGTACTCGTGTCTTTAAATTCAAAGCCAAATGTCTATAAAAAAAGTGGAAATATGCCCTATTTCAAGAGCTCTGTTACCCCTTTTTTTCAAACATAAATCCCAAAACACAATTGTCCAGTACACCGTCGGGCAGTTTCCAGTCACCATAGAAGACATAACGGTAATCGAGCCAGCTAACCCTGAGTGATGGATTCTAACACACGCACATAATGGATCATCTTTATAGTAATATGCATAGATAAGTGGTTTAGTTTATGCATTGCCATGTCTGTGAAAGTTATGGATTATTATGTGCATGTTCAAATTAAATACCTTGTGTTACAAAATAAACAAAATACAGCTTCTGTTTTTAATCATCTATGCCATCAATAATGTGCTTGGTAAAGTAAAGTTTTTTTGACGAAGTGACCTCGTCACTTCTGTACTTTTGATCGCTTTTCCTGTAACTATACATCAATCTTGCCAAAAAGCTCGATATACAGGGGTGTCTTTGTTATCCTTATTTCATTAATTGACAAGCTCCTCCTGTTTTATTGTTAATTGTGTTCGACGCATCTTACCACTGCATTTGTATATTTAATTACTTTGTGTTCAGCGCATCTCTAGCCACGTATATAAGCTGTATTTCTTGAATTACGAGAGCTACAACAACACACATTTTGAAATTAATCTGTGAAACATGTTGCCTGTTTGTAAGCTTGTTGATTCCCTATAGCCGTCACCACTTTTTATTAAATAGCAAAACTTGACTCAAGTTATTTCATTGTCATGATTGTATTGATAATATGTAAATCAATACTGTCTTTATTACTCTGTGTTTTGTGTACCAAATGTTTTTGTTTGTTGTTAAGCGCAAAACTACGCAATGATCTATCTGGGCTATGTCCATCACAGGTATCGAAACTCGGTTTTTAACGTTAGAAACCTTCAGACTTACCACTGAGACTTTATGAGAATTGATTAAGGTTATTTCAGTGTAATTTTTATATAAACTTATATTACCTAAGCGGAACTATTAATGTAATTTATCATTATTTAATCCCCGAGCTTAATTTAGAGTTAAATCTATCAATTAATATTATACTTTTCCACTTTAACACAGGTGTTAATTTTCTTCTGGACTGCTGTTAAATCAAAAGTTAAAAAGAGAAATATCATGTGTTTATAAAGTTCGATATTTCTACGAGAGATAGTCCTATCAGTTACATCAGTTATTTACTCATTTGGTTTCAGTGATATAAGTAAAGCACCAGTATTAAAGGTGGCCTTAATGTACACTAACTGTTACTACATTATGACTGAAAACTCTGCTTGACTAAAGATAAAGATTTAAGGTTGTTTACATCTAAAACCTTTTGAATCTGTTTTTAAGTAGTAATTCATTCTACTTTGTTCTAGATTTATACTTAAAATGTTTAGTGTGCACTGTTATCTTTTAATTTTAACATCTTATTTACTAATACTATCACTAGTATGCATACATTCGAAAAGTATTTTAACTGAATTACTACAGCAATTTCATTGGACAGTGCTTGTGTAAGTACAGTGTATTCTACGATTTTTTAATTTGTTATTTATTAAGCAAGATAACTCGAGATATTTTAAGGAAACAATCAGCAAAGTGGGTATGTTTAATAGCGTTTTCTCTTGTAATTGAAACGAGATATTCTCAGGACTATAAAATGTAACAGATTTTGCTGTCTTCTAGAAAATAGGAAACGATAATATCACGAAGCAGTTTACGTTGGTTGGCCATCCTTTGATTGGCAAATACACAACTTCTAGAAAATAGGGAACGATAAGATCAAGAAGCAGTTTACGTTGGTTGGCCATTCTTTGATCGGCAAATACACAACTTCTAGAAAATAGGGAACGATAAGATCAAGAAGCAGTTTACGTTGGTTGGCCATTCTTTGATCGGCAAATACACAACTTCTAGAAAATAGGGAACGATAATATCACGAAGCAGTTTACGTTGGTTGGCCATCCTTTGATTGGCAAATACACAACTTCTAGAAAATAGGGAACGATAAGATCAAGAAGCAGTTTACGTTGGTTGGCCAATCTTTGATCGGCAAATACACAACTTCTAGAAAATAGGGAACGATAAGATCACGAAGCAGTTTGCACAGGTTGACCATCCATTGATCGGTAAATACACAACTCTTAGAAAATAGGGAACGCTAAGATCAAGAAGCAGTTTGCGTTGGTTGGCCATTCTTTGATCGGCAAATACACAACTTCTAGAAAATAGGGAACGATAAGATCACGAAACAGTTTACACAGGTTGACCATCCTTTGATCGGCAAATACACAACATCTACAAAATAGGGAACGATAAGATCACGAAGCAGTTTACACAGGTTGGCCATCCATTGATCGGTAAATACACAACTCTTAGAAAATAGGGAACGATAAGATCAAGAAGCAGCTTACGTAGGTTGGCCATCCTTTGATCGGCAAATACACAACTTCTACAAAATAGGAAACGATAAGATCAAGAAGCAGCTTACGTAGGTTGGCCATCCATTGATCGGTAAATACACAACTCTTAGAAAATAGGGAACGATAAGATCACGAAGCAGCTTACGTAGGTTGGCCATCCTTTGGTCGGCAAATACACAACTTTAGAAGCTTTACTTCACCAGCATTTCTGATTTTTCCAACAGTCGTTGGTCAGTTCCTTATTCTATCTTTTAATATACTAGTTGTTCTTTTGTTTTTACGCGAGAAAACATTCTAACGACCGAAATCCTGTCGAGCTGTGCACTTGACGTTTTGCTTGTTTTTATTTTTGTTGTTGATAGATCTATACTAGAGAATGAATAACAGTGCTTGATTTGTTGATTTTTCAGAATTTCCTAGAAACAACATCATGTAGACGAAAGGACAGTAGATTATACTAATATTAAAGACCGCTACAACTAATACATTTTTATAGTCTGATTTGTTACCCATAGAGTGAAGGACTTCTCTGTGACTTCAATTTTTCTATAACGTTAATAGTGATTGTTTTTAAAAATGCTTGACATAAATTCTAACTTCAAACTGCAGTTGAAAATTTAACAGATAGTTCAGATAGCTGTAGCTTTTGCTTGTTTGCTGGATTTAGCGCAAAGCTTCACAAAGATTATCTGCGCTAGCAGTAGATGAAAGGGAAGCCAGATAGTCAAACAGCACCCACCGCCATTTCTTGGTCTACTCTTGCCAGACTTAACAGTGGAAGTTGTATGTTTGTTTGTAGTTAAGCACAAAGCTACAAATGGAGCTATCTGTGCTTTACCCACCATGGGTATCGAAACCTGGTTTCTAGCGTTGTAAGTCCGCAGACGTACCGCTGTGCCACTGGCAGGCAGTGGAATTTGATCGTTATTCGTCCAACGCATTCACGGTCCCAAAGAGCAGAGAACGATTTATTATTATTATTTGTTTTTTTTGGCTGTAATGGTACGTGCGCTACGGACCTTCAGCACCACAGTCTGTTACGCTAATCACTGGGCCGCGTTTTAGTTGTAGTTCGCAGTATTTGCGAAACATTACGTAAAACGGTAATTAATTTGCTTTTGGTTAAGTTTTGTTCGCAACAACGTTCTATAAAACATTTAACTAAGCGAGTACTTACATTTTCTAAAACAACTGAGTGCATACTCGTTTTGTAAAAATATTTAAGGGAATATACATACATTTCCTAGTAGAAACCCTATTAACATATCTTGTTCTTATAAGTGGAAAACATGCCTAATCACGACCTTATTTACGTTTATAGAAATGCCTCGTAACAAACTCCAGTTTGCGTTAAACAAAGTTAAAAATAATTGTATTTATCAAATGTTTGACACTTCTGATGAGCAAAAAAACATTATTTTCCACCTTCCGTTCGTAATCATTCCAGCGCGAACTGAAACGCTAAATGTCATTTTAAAAACTATAACTCTAAAATGTGTCCGATACTGTTACTTCAGTGATACTTTTCATGCTCATACACAAATACATTGTTTATGTCCGTTTTTTTTCACATCTTTTAGCATGCCCAATATCCATTTTTACACATGTTGGTGGTGATAATGTTAGAAAAATACAAAATCATTATAAAGGAAATTCAGGTGGAAAATTTAGCTTCGTCGAAGGGTTTGATGAAAAGAAAAGCTTAAGGGCTGTGGAAAGTTCAAAATATTTCTTGAATACGAGGGAAAAATATATTCAGTAGAAAT